GTGAATTTGGTTGGAGATTTGGAGAATTTGGGGGTGAACCTGAGCATTTTGGGAGGAGTTACGTCGATTTTGATCTGAAAGTGAGAGAATTTGCATATAACTATTTAGTAAGAAAATGGGTTCTGGGATTGTTAGTAGATACAGAGGGGTTTTGCCTTATATTATATTCTAATATTGACGCACAGATAGTGGAGCCACGTATATAGTAAAATGATACTGGGTCTGGTATTGTCTAAATGTTGATTCTTAAGGCTGTGTTTGGTTTGAGAGAACTTGAGAGAAAAGAAAAGGAAAGGGAAAGAAGATTGAAAGGAAAAGAAAAAGGAAAGGGGGAAACACTTAAGGCTATATTGCCTCTCTAGCTGTGCTTTTGTCTATTTGAGTTGATGATTCTCTGCAATCATTAGCTTCTCTGCAGCTTTTGTTTCATAGGGAGTATCCTTATATATAGCTACCTGAACTGATTCAGTTTGTTTGTTTCCCATCTATCATCCTCTGCTTGGAATTTACAGCGTGCGTGCGTGTGTACGTGCGTGGGGGTGCAGATGCGGGCGTGGCTGTGTGTTCATGTTCGTGCGTGCGTGCGTGCACGTGTGTGTTTTTCCTCTTTTGAGCAAAACGGTGGGTAACTGCCTGCAAGTTTCATTTATAAGAGTTTAGCGAAATGAGCCCACAAGAGTACGAGTTTTGCTTCATACAAAAGCAGTTGAAACTACACAGAGACAACACACACACACACACAAACATAGACACAGAAACACAAACAAAAGAAAAAAGGGGGAAAAAGGAAAAAAAAAACCGAAATAATCATATACATTCATCATTTGTCTACGCTTGTTTAATGTGCTTTATATCCTTTTGCTGCTTACTTGCTATGTCTGTTAGCACCATGTAATATTTATGAGATAGATTCATCATTTGTCTATGCTTGTCCTGTCCAGCTTTGTCTTGTTTTAATCGTGTATGAATTTAGCGTCTTTGCATTTGTGGGGAACGAAGCACCTATGACTGTCTATGGTGATATAATTGCTATTTATTTTGCTCTGTTGGTATGAATTGTGCTATATAACTGCTTTGTACTTTTGGTTGTAAACTTCTCATGTTTGGGTTGTCTTCAAGTTCGTACCTTCATTGATTGTTTTCCTTTGGTATGATATCATGATTTTATAGGATGAAGTCATTAATTCATTGTGCTATGATAACGAAGAATCTAGAAGCAATCCCACTTGCATTTTTTTTAAAGATATGCTGCTAACTTTTTATCATGTCTCTCACTGCATATATATGTTTATGCAATTATCTCAGTTCCCATGTTCACTTGGGTCAAGTGAAGAAGAACATTTCATCTTTTGTTTCATATCACTGGTATTCTACTGTGATTAACTGAAGCAAGTCTTGCAGTTTTATAAATTATTAGACAAAGTTATTTTGTGAAATTATGAATAATTGAACCTTAATAAAAGTCTTATGTTTAAATTATCATGGTCTATCACTAAGAAATATTTTTTGATATATAGATCAAATACTTATTCCTGATAATATTATTATTATTATTTTTTTATGTTTAATGTTTGGTTACTTCTTCTGGTTTCAACCTTCTCTTTGTTTGAATCATTATCACCACGTTGCTTTGTTCTAACTTCATTATCTTATTGTATGTATTATTTTGCTAACCGGAGTTCTATGAAGTACCATGCCTTGGAAATTTGGAAAAGAGAATCTAGCCTACTGATACATGGACAGTAGACTTATTCCTTTCATTTTCCTCCATTCGTTAGTTTTATAATGTATTGCATTTGTACATGTGTTACTTAGACTGATTGAAGCATTAACCACAAATTATATCTTTGAAATTAGAGGAGAGTATCTAGCTTACGATATATATTGCAAATTTAGGTAATTCATTGTTTACATTTTTTATCTTCATATCTTATTAGTTGCTTATGCTGGTCCTCTCTCTTGTTTGAACAGCGCAAGGATTTATCTCAAGAATCATTTGCTTTTATCATTTTATTATTTTGGAACGTGTAACTTCTCATGGTTAAAAGAATGAAAAGTTTCCCCTTTAATGTACTACATAAGGCTTACCAACTCATTAATGAATTTCTCTTCTTGATTCATAAATAATGGAACTTCTTGCAGATATATGCTTTGTGAAGACTGTGCTGGTTACTGAGGATGAGATGAAATGTCTGGAATGGTGGAAGGTCTCCAGAAGACGACTTCCTACCACCGGTTATGCTCTCCAAATAACTACTTATATAGATCTGCATGCATGCATGCCGGAGTGCGTGCGTGGATTTGTGTATGTGTGTGCTGCTATTGATTTTGGTAGGACATAATTAATGTCAATTTATTTTGCAGGTCCTGTTAGAATTGCTGAAGCTCTATGTCATTGAACTTTTGAATGACTAAAGACAGCTGCATAACAATCATTGGATGCTTGTATATTACAAAAGTGGTGGACAACATGGTATGTTACTTATTTTGTTCATACTGAGGTATATAGCTGATGAAAACCTTGTTATGCTAGGTATATGCCTTTTGCTCTTGATTTTGGTAGGACATAATATGAACTTATATTGCAGGTCCTGTTAGAATTGCTGAAGATCTATGTCCTTAAACTTTTGAAGGACTAGAGACTGCTGCATATTGCAGAAGTGGCTGTCAACATCGTACGTTACTCATGCTTTTCATACTATACTGATGAAAACCTTGTTATACTAGGTTACTACCTACATGTCCCGGAATTAGGGTCTGAAAGTCTATATCTTTTCATGACAACAATCTGTAATTCATTGTCATTTCATTTTAAAAACCTGTTGCGTATTTTGGGGCATAAAAATTATGCATATATTTACTGACATTGTTTTCATCCTTTTTGCTATCTCTTAGTCAAGAATCGCCAAGAGCACTTTACAATATTGAAAAATCTGGAAGTCGTAAAATCTAATATATCTAAGTAAACATTGGTGATAGAATATTTTTTTGGATTTAACATATTTAAAACAACATCTTTTTCATCTTCTTATTTTGTAAGGGAAATTCCATGATTGCAATGCGTGCTTGTGGGCTGGTGTTGGTTGTTGTGCGCCGCGGAAGCCCCAATTAGCCAAGTCAAAAGCACACACAAGAACAATAGTAGACCACAAGTGAACACAAGCCAACCAATCACAGCAAGTACACAAGATATACGTGGTTCGGCAATGTGCCTACGTCCACGGGGCAAGGAGGGGGAAGCTTTACTAATGAAATCAAAGGGGAATACAAATTAGGGTTACAAATCTTACCCAAAACCCTCAAACAAGACCACTTGATCTCTCCAATAGACTCCAACAATAGAAGCCCTCAAAATCGTCCAAACTTAACCCTAGAAACGAGTTTAGGGTTTAAATACAACTTTACAAAGCAAAACGGCGCTCTGCGAAACAAACCCAAACCGCAAACGCCGCAGCGGTGGTCGACCGGCCCTCACGGGTCCGACCGCGTATCTATTTCTTTTACGTCGACCGGACGTCGACGTTGGCCACCATTCCAGCTATGAGGCCCAAACTCCAGAGAGTTCGGCGGTCGACCGACCCGGTCGACCGACCACCGAGCAGAAACTTCTGCGGTCGACCGGACCGGTCGACCGCCACCAATGCTGAAGCCCAGTGAACAATGTGCACGAATGCGATCGACCGGGCCGGTCGACTGCCACCCAGTTTGCCTGAATCTCAACCTGTCAGCCTCTGCTGCTAGTTCCACAAATCTCCACCTCGGCGAACATTTGCCAAAACTGAGCCGACACCAAAAACACCCCCAAACAATCTCAAGCGGCTGCATCTGCATGTCTGCCTACGTATCCTCTTGCCCAAGGAATCAAGCCGAACGTAGTTCATCCAAATGGCCGCCAACGACCTCAACAATGAAGAATATTCAACAAATTCAAACATTGACCAAACTTCACACCTAATACAACTTTGGTCAACATATCTACAGGGTTATCCTTAGTGTGGACCTTCTCCAACGTGACATCACCATCATCCAATACGTCACGTACAAAGTGAAATCTGACATCAATGTGCTTCGTGCGTGCATGGTAGACTTGGTTCTTCGCCAAATAGATAGCTGACATACTATCATAATATACCTGAATGGTCTTCTGTGCAATCCCCAAATCATCCAACAAGCCATGTAGCCACAAAGCCTCCTTCACTGCTTCAGTCACCGCCATATATTCCGCCTCCGTAGTAGAAAGCGCCACTGTAGACTGAAGAGTGCATCTCCAACACACCGGTGCACTAGCCAATGTAAAAACATAACCTGTAGTGGACCGACGCTTGTCAAGATCTCCGGCATAGTCTGAATCCACGTAGCCAATACAATCCTGCCCTGTCTCATCATTCTTCGCAAATATCAACCCAACATCCACGGTACCCTTAATATACCGTAGAATCCACTTCACGGCCTCCCAATGCCCTTTCCCGGGGTTGTGCATGTACCTAGATACCATGCTCACGGCCTATGATAAATCTGGCCTAGTACACACCATAGCATACATCAAGCTACCCACTGCGCTGGCGTATGGAACCTTGGACATGTAGTCCTTATCCTTCACTGAAACTGGTAACATCAAAGCTGAAAGCTTAAAGTGGAGAGCTAATGGAGTACTCACCATCTTGGTATTACCCTCAAAACTGAATTTCTTTAGCATCTTTTACAAGTAACTCCTCTGTGTAAGCTTCAATCTCCCCTTCACCCTGTCTCGCTCAATCTCCATACCCAATATCTTCTTAGCCTCTCCCAGGTCCTTCATCTCAAATTCAAATGACAACTCCTTTTCTAATTTCCCAATAACTGAAGTGTTCCTGGAAGCTATGAGCATATCATCAACATACAATAACAAATAAATGTGCTCACCATCCTGTAGCTTGCGCATATAAACACACGGGTTATAAGGGCTCCTCGTGTACCCTCGGCCAATCATAAAGCTATCAAATCTCTTGTACCACTGTCGAGATGATTGCTTCAGTCCATAAAGAGATTTCTTCAATTTGCACATCAAATCTTCTCTTCCTGCAGCTTTAAACCTCATAGGTTGTGTCATGTAGATCTCCTCATCTAAGTCTCCATGTAGAAAGGCCGTCTTCACGTCCATTTGGATCAAATCTAAGTCCAGCTGTGCCACCAATGCCAATAGTATCCGAATCGACGAATGTTTCACAACGGGTAAAAATACCTCATTGTAGTCAACGCCCTCAAGCTGTGCATATCCCTTGACAACCAATCTGGCCTTGAACCGAATGTCCCCAATAGAAGATCCCTCCTTCTTGGCATACACCCACTTACAACCAATAGCTTTCTTACCCTTCGGTAGCTTTACAAGTTCCCAAGTGTCGTTCTTCTGAAGAGATTGCATCTCCTCCTTCATAGCATTCCTCCACCTAATGGAATCAGGGATGGACTCTGTCTCCCTGAATGTGACGGGAATAAGATCATCAACGACCTCCACCGATAAAGCATATGCCACCATGACATCATCATATCTAGCTAGCCGACGAATCTCTCTCCTCGGTCTATCTGCTGCAATGGACCCCTGAGCATGACCCTGCTCCTGAGCCTCATCATCCACTGTATCCCCCAAATGCCCGACTGTCATCTCAACTCCTTCCTGTGTCACCTCTGTAGGAGTCTCTATGGGAACAGTGTCAACTGGAGTGGGTGAAGTCACATCATCCTCCACCTGCTGCAATATCCTTCCTGTCTGATCTTCCTCCACCTGCTGAGAAACTTGAGGCTTCATCATGTACGCCTCATCGAATGTGACATCTCTGCTAATGATCATCTTCTTGTCTTGTGGATCCCATAATTTGAAGCCTTTTACACCTTCTCTAAATCCCACAAAGATAGCCTTCCTCGCTCTCGGATTCAACTTCCCATCACTAACATGGAAATAAGCTGGATACCCAAATATCCGAAGAGTCTCATAATCACTAGCCATAGAACCAGACCAACGCTCCAAAGGAATCTTTCCCTCTATCGCAATGCACGACAACCTGTTAATGAGATGACTCGCATAAACTAACGCCTCGGTCCAAAAAGATCTAGCCAATCCACTATGCGTCATCATACATCGTATCTTCTCCAGCAAGGTATGGTTCAGCCTCTCTGTTATCCCATTCTGTTGCGGTGTCTCTCTAACTGTGAAATATCTTCTAATGCCATGATCCCGACAAAACTGCAGAAATGGATCACTCTTGTACTCTCCACCATAAGAGTCTTCACCTTTCTACCTGTCTGCAGCTCCACTTTCTTCTTCCACTCCACAAATATATTCAGGACCTCATATTTATGCTTCATGGTATATACCCAATTCCTCCTGGAATAATCATCAATGAAAGTGACGAAATAATTTGTCCCACCAAGCGATGTGTGCTTAGAAGGGCCCCAAACATCTGTGTCAATGTAGTCTAATATACCTTGAGTGTTGTGAATTACGGTGCCACACTTTACTTTAGTCTTCTTCCCAAGTATGCAATACTCACACAGATCCATCTTGCAGGTCTTTGTACCTTTTAATAGTCCCTGTTTTGCCAATGACTGAAGGAACTTTTCACCTGTGTGTCCAAGCCTCATGTGTCATAGTATGGTAGTATCCTCCTCTGTGGTGATAGAAGCCGCCAGACCCCCTGTAACTGTCTTGCCCTTCAAGTAGTATAGGTTGTTTTCCCTGACACCTCGCATCACCACCATGGATCCCTTCATGACCTTCAAACTAGCATCCTCTAATATCACTCTATAACCGGATGCCTCCAAAATCCCAAGAGAAATGAGGTTCTTCGTCAACTGCAGCACAAACCTCACATCTTTCAATTCCCTAGTCACCCCGTCATACATTCTGATTCTGACTGAGCCAATCCCACTAATAGGACAAACGTGATCGTTCCCCATGAGCACCACGTCTCCTCTCTTCAACTCCTCAAAGTTGATAAATCAATCCCTCTTAGGGCAAATATGAAATGTAGCTCCCGAATCAAGCATCCACTCCGTAGAGTTGACATAACAAACAGACGGTAGTGCGGGACAAGAATAACCGAAAGAATCCGAATCTGAAGTGTCACCAACAACCTTGGCAACATTCACCTCTGAAGCTTGTACAGCTTTTCCCCTTTGCTTCCCGGTTCTATCCTTCAACTTTGGACACTCATTCTTCCAATATCCCTCTTCTTTGCAAAAGGCACATTGATTTCTACCAACACTTTTATGGCCACCCCTATTCTTTGATTTTGAGCAGTTGAACTTTTGGCGGTTTGGACTACGGCCACGAACTGCAAGTGCATCACCCGATGCCTTCTCGGAGGGCTCACAATCATTCTTCCTCAGCTCATAATTCACCAATGCCGAGGTCACCTCCTTGTAGCTAACTGTAGTTCGTCCATTTATCATAGTGAGAACAAAAGTACTAAATTCATCATCTGGCAAAAAACACAATAATAACATCGCCTTGTCTTCATCCTCCACCATGATATCAACATTGGCCATATCCGAAATCAGCTTTGTGAAGTTGTTAACATGCTCTCGAATGGAAACTCCTCTCTTCATCTTGAATTGGTAGAATATTTTCT